TTAAGGTAAGTCTACAAAAGCAAAATGTCCTAATTTATAAATAAAATGGTTATATGTATCAGCCCATGGCCTAAACCAAGCCTATTGTAGTCCAAATCCAGCCATGCCCATTTGTTTGCATATTGCCTATGACTGCTTCTGACTTACAAGATCAGAGTTAGTAGTGACTGCAAGACCCTCAAAGACAAGAATACCTTTAAATTTACAGAATATTTATAATGTGCTAAACTCTGAAATAAAACATAATATGCCTATATGTTTCATCACAACCCTATGAGGAAGATGTCATTATTGTTTTCAATTTATGTATGAGGAAACTGACCTGGGGAGAGATGAGTGACATTAACGAGTTACACAGCTAGACATTCAGTGGGGATCCAAACTCAAGCAATATAACTCCAGACCCTACTCTCTTCATCCTGACCCTGTGAAGGAGGTATTACGCCCTTCATTATTAGGGGTCATACTATTGTCCTCACTGTCAGTTCCAGAAGCTTGGAACTATTAAGTGCCTTGACCAAATTCATCAGCCTAGCCTCGAGATTCAAGTGTGAAATTTGCTGAAATTCATATTGCCCCAACTATGGTCCAGAACTCCAGTGACACCAGCCCAGGAGCAGAGGAAGAATAAAAAGCTTTAAATATTAATTATTCATCAGATACTGTGATTCGGAGGTAGAACAGACCTTCAGAAATGTAAATAGACTATACATTATTAATCAACTTATCAAAGTCAAGAATTTAAATATTTAAACATTTCTACCACTGAAACATAGATAGTAAACCCCACAGTCACTAAAACTGTGTATAGCACATTAAATTTCTACCCTCCGCTAATGACGCGGGGCTTCCATTTATCCAGTTCTAACAATTTTCTTTAGAAAGACAGGCCTGGGAGTCTCCGGAGAGAAGTGACAGGCAGGGAGGCAACCGAGGTTACTGATTCTCAATCTCAAAACTGCTTCCTTCAACTGTTACATCATCTTTTAGGGTCCTTGCATTCCATTCTAGGTAGAGATTTAATTCTTGACAATAATAATTCAAAGTAACATGAGCCTTTTATTTTCTTTAAAAGATAGTCCATTCTTATTGCAGATTTAAGGAAGAAAGATAATCTTTGACAACACTAACACCCATAGATAACCATTCTTGACCATTAGGAACATTGTTAAAATTGAACTACCCCCTGAATACTACCATAAAATTGCCTTAATCAAGAGACTTCGCTTCTCCCTCAGCAATGGGCTATCAAAGTACATGGGATTTTGTGGGGCAAAGCTTGAGTCCGTGGTGTAGAAGTAGAATTTGACCGCCAAATAAAGTAGTTAGCAAGCAAACGACTGTGTGTAGAAGTTCTATTCAATGTCCAATGAACCAGCCCAAATAGCCAGGTCAGAGTGTCTAAAGCTTCTGGACAGGGAATCAATGCCAAACAGAAGGAGCTTTCTGCTCAAGCATTTCTCTGGATTAGGACATGATCCCAGGCAGCAGCTGGAATTACTGGGATAGCTTCAAAGCCGCTCAAGAAAGTCACCTATCAAGGGTCAGTCATGGATTGAGGACCTCATTCAAGCAGGATGAATTTCAGCAGAGCTGAGTGAGGAACCTGAACTTCAAAGACTGACCCAAAATTTGAGGCAGGAGAATAATTCTTGGCTATGCCAGATGATTGGTCTGCTTCAAGTTCCTGAGCTAGCCGGCTTTGGTCTTCTACGCTCAGTGACTGGGTAAGACCAAGACTGCAGACTGAATATCTTTTGTACCCAGAGCTGAGTGATACTAAAGCACGTAATAAAGATCCTGTTGCCACATGATAGGTATTAGAAAAGGTCAGTCTTGCTGTATTTCCAAGTTCTCAAAGCATGTTTATCAGATAGGCATTGTTGTTTCATCAGACAAATCATACTAGGTTAAGTTTGTTCCAGTTAGTTGGATTTGGTTAAAACTGATCAAAGAGGATCTCATTCAATATGGCTTAAAAAAGGACCAATTTGTCCTCCAAAAATCTCACTGAGGTGACAAAAGCAAAATAAAAGCAAGGATTATTTGATAGAAGCAGTAAAAAACCTAGGAACTTTTCTACCAGAAGACCAGCAACATTGGAAATTATCTATAGGACCCAAAACAAGTGGGACAGAACCGAGGTTGAGACCAAAGTGAGTTGTGACCTACTCCAGATAAACAAGGGTGTGGCTGAAGCAGTGAATAATATTTTTTACAAAAAAGCCCCCCAGTCTTCAAGTGCTAAGTCAGCCAGTTCAGGGAGCAGGAGCAAACTGCGGGCTCTCGGTGGGCTCCTGGTATAGGCATTAAAGCCAAAAGAGAAATGGGGCTGCTCCCAGGCAACTCCAGGCCGCCACAGTGGATGTGAGTCTATACATCCTAAAAGAAGCTGGCCCCCATCTCCTCATCCCAGTAGAACTCTGCAGATAACATTCCCATTTATGGCTAGAAAAACTCTACAGGGTGCCTGGGTGGCTCAGTCATTAAGCATCTGCCTTTAGCTCAGGTCCTGATCCCAGGGTCCTGGAATCAAGCCCCACATCGGGCTCCCTGCTCCGCGGGAAGCCTGCTTCTCCCTCTCCCACTCCCCCCTGCTTGTGTTCCCTCTCTCACTGTGTCTCTCTCTGTTGTCAAATAAATAAATAAAATCTTTAAAAAAAAAAAAAGCTCTAACAGCAGCAACTAATGTCAACTATTCTAGACATTTATATGTGTGTATATATATGCATATACACATATAAATATATTTAGATACACATATATACACACATATATATACACATATACACACACATATATAGATAACCAAAAATCACCAGAAATTTAAAAAATAATGGCATAAAAGTGAGAAGTCACCCCATAAAAGCAAAACAAATGGTCCCCAAAAGAAACATCATTGACAAAGAGAAGAGAAGAAAATGTGGCCAAAAATCTGAATATTTCTTATGACACTGAAGGTATTCTGGCATTCATATAATAAGAGTAGGCTGGTAAAGAGGGACAATTAGAAAGTAAAAAAAAAAAATTCTTAGACAAATAAAAATATGATTAGCACAATATAAAACACAGTGGGGCACAGGACAACAAAATGTATATACAGTCAACCTCCAAATAGTAATTTAAAAGCCCAGTTCGAGGGGCACCTGGGTGGCTCAGTCAATTAAGCATCCGACTCTTGATTTCAGCTCAGGGCACGATCTCAGGGTCATGGGATCGAGCCCCACATCAGGCTCTGCACTCAGCGCAGAGTCTTCCTGGGATTCTCCCTCTCCCTCTTCCCCTCCCCCTGCTCACTACAGCACACTATAAATAAATAAACAAATAAATAATCAATAAAATCTAAAAATGAAATTAAATTGAGAAATAAAAGCCCAATTTGACAATGTAAAGCAAAAGACAAATGTAATATAAATTATTTGAGAAAGACCTGAGCTCTCACAACTAAAGTGCCACCTAAACACTAAAAAGGAATACTGAAAGTAGTTGCATATTACTAGATATATCCTGCTATTATTTCTGAATTCAAAAGTTAATTCTAAAAAAAAATACTACTAAGAACTTTTAGAAAGATAAAACAATTTTATTAAAAAGGAAAGAGAAACATATGCTGAATTTATCATAAAATGCTCAATACTAAAACACAATGAAGAAATATCTACATTGTTCTGAAGAAAATACTGTGAACCCAGAATCCTTTAAGCCATATTATCTTTGCACATGAAGACCAACTAAGCATTTCTTTAGTTGTACAAGGATTCATAAAATATACCTCCAAATTTGTCTTTTCTGAAAAAGAATATTTCTCATTTATATATTCCAGCCAATTAAAAATTATGTCTATATCCAAAAAAGAGAAAAATCCTGGATATAAAAAACACTAGAGATAAAAGCAACTGGCAAACCCTAGAACTACATCAAAACAAGGGTGACAATGCATTTCTAGAGTTTAATGCAACTGCTCAGAACAGATAGTTTTATAAACAAGACAATTAAATAAGTATAGATTTTAAATTTCAAAAATAGAAAATTAAATTTTAAAAATAAAAGTTTAAAAAAAATTTTTAACAATCTGGAGCTAAAATAATGATTTTTAAAATTACAGATATTATCAAACCTGGGTCTTGGGAAGCGGAGGAGTACAAAAAAAAATGTTTAGAAATGCAAAGATTTTATTTTCATCAGAGAGTATAGATACTAATGTGACAGAAAGCCATAGGCTCAAAAATACCAAAATGTAGGGGTACCTTTTGGGAAGGAAAAGTGACTGAAAAGAACAAGGAACATTCTAAGATGCTGATACACAGTGTGCTATCTTTTTGAAAACTCATCATGCTGCACACTTTTGATCTGAGTAATTTTCAATACGTATATTATACTTTTATCTTTTTAAATTGATCTTAAACTCTGAGAGCTAATAAGTGATTATAGCAGAGTTGTAGGATATAAGTTTGATATACAAAAGTCCATCACTTTCCTATATACCAGCAATGAACAAATGGAATGTAAAATGAAAAACAAAATACCATTTTAATAGCACGTCCCAAAAATGAAATACTTAGGTATAAATCTAACAAAACACATACAAGAGCTGCATTAGGAAAATTACAAAACTCTAATGAACAAAATCAAGGAATACCTAAGTAAATGGAAAGATAATCCAGGTTCATGAATAGGAAGATTCAATATTGTCAAGATGTTAATTATTCCCAACTCTAATTATAGATTCAACACAATGCCAATCAAAATCTCAGCAAATTATTTCAGGTATATTGAAAAACTGATTCTAAAGTTTATATGGAGAAGCAAAATAGCCAGCTATTGAATAGCCAGCCACTGAACCCAGAATAGCCAGCTATTGAAGAACAAAGCTGAAGATCTAACATTATCCAACTTCAAGACTTACTATAAACATAGTGTAATCAGTATGGTGTGGTATTGGCAAAATAATAGACAAGTTAATCAATGGAACAGAATAGATAGCCCAGAAATATACTCACATAAATATACTGAACTGATCTTTGTCAAAGAAGCAGAGACAATGCGACAGAGAAAAGATAGTCTTTTCAACAAATGGTGATGGAATAGCTGGACATCCACCTTAAAAAAATAAAAAGAAGAAGATTAATGTAGACACTGACTTTACACCCTTCACCAAAATTAACTTAAAATAGATCAGAGACTTACATGTAAAACACAAAACTATAAAACTCCTAGAAAAAAACATGGGAGAAAATCTAGACGACCTTGGATTTGGTGATGACTTTTTTTTTTTTAAAGATTTTATTTTATTATTTATTTGAGAGAGAGAATGAGAGAGAGCACATGAGAAGGGGGAGGGTCAGAGGGAGAAGCAGGCTCCCCGCCGAGCAGGGAGCCCGATGTGGGACTCAATCCCAGGACTCCAGGATCATGACCTGAGCCGAAGGCAGTTGCTTAACCAACTGAGCCACCCAGGTGCCCTGGTGATGACTTTTTAGATATAGTACCAAAGGCACAATCCATGGAAGAAATAAGTTGGAGTCCATTAAAATTAAAAACTGCTCTATGAAAGACAGTGTCCCAGAGAATGAGAAGACAAGTCACATGGTGGGAGAAAATATTTATAAAAGACACATCTGATAAAGGATTTTTCAAAACATACAAAAAACTGTTCATACTCAACAAAAAGAACATAAACAACCTAAAAATTGAAAATAGAGCTACCATACGACCCAGCAATTACACTACTGGGTATTTACCCCAAAGATACAAATGTAGGGATCTGAAGGGGTACATGCACCCCGATGTTTATAGCAGCAATGTCCACAATAGTCAAACTATGGGAAGAGCCAAGATGTCCATCGACAGATGAATGGATAAAGAAGATGTTGTATATATATACAATGGAATATTATGCAGCCATCAAAAGGAATGAAATCTTGCCATTTGCAATGACATGGATGGAACTGGAGGGTATTATGCTGAGCGAAATAAGTCAATCAGAGAAAGACATGTTTCATATGACCTCACTGATATGAGGAATTCTTAATCTCAGAAAACAAACAGGGTTGCTGGAGTGGTCGGGGGTTGGAGGGATAGGGTGGCTGGGTGATAGACGCTGGGGATGGTATGTGCTATGGTGAGTACTATGAATTGTGTAAGACTGTTGAATCACAGACTGGTACCTCTAAAACAAATCATACATTATATGTTAAAAAAAAAAGAAAGAAGAAGATAGCAGGAAGGGAAAAATGAAGGGGGGGAATCAGAGGGGGAGATGAACCATGAGAGACTATGGACTCTGAGAAACAAACTGAGGGTTCTAGAGGGGAGGCGGGTGGGGGGATGGGTTAGCCTGGTGATGGGTATTAAAGAGGGCACATACTGAATGGAGCACTGGGTGTTATATGCAAACAATGAATCATGGAATGCTACATCAAAAACTAGTGATGTAATGTGTGGTGATTAACATAACATAATAAAAAAATAAAAAATAAATAAAAGAACATAAACAACCTGATAAAAAATGGGCCAAAAACTTAAAAAATGAACCAAACCAAAGAACATAGAGACGGTAAGACTATATGGAAAGATGTTCTACACCATATGTCATTAGGGAAATGAAAATTAAAACAATAAGATACCTCTGCACACCTATTAGAATGGCCAAAACCCAGAACACTGACAACACCAAATACTGGTGAGGATGCAGAGCAACAGGAACTTTCATTCATTTCTGGCGGGAATACAAAATGGTACAACCACTTTGGAAGACAGTTTGATGGTTTCTCACAAACTAAACATGCTCTTACTACACCATCCAGCAATCATACTCCTTGGTATTTGGCCAAAGGAGTTGAAAACTAAGTCCACACAAAAATCTGCACACGGATGTATATAGGAGCTTTATTCATAATTGCCCAGACTTGAAAGCAACAAAGATGTCCTCCAGTAGGTGACTGGATAGATAGTATGTGGCACATCCAGACAATGAAATATTTTCTAGCACTAAAATGAAATGAGCTATCAAGCCATGAAAAGAGATGGAGGAAATGTAAATGCATATCACTAAGTGAAAGAAGCCAATCTGAAAAGATTACATTCTGAAAAAGGCAAAACTGTGAAGACAGTAAAAAGATCAGTGGTCAGAGGGGAAAGGAAGATCAGGTGGAACACAAAGGATTTTTAGGGCAGTGACACTACTCTATATGATACTGTAATGGTGGATACATGTCATTACACAACTGCCCAAACTCATAGAATATACAACACCAAGAGTGAACCTTAGTGTGAACTATAGACTTTTGGTGATTATGATGTGTCAATGTAAGTTCATCTATTGTGATAAATGCACCTTCCTGGTGTGGGATGTTGATAATGGGGAAGCTATGCATGTGTGGAGGCAGGAGTATATAGAAAACCTCTGTACCTTTCTCTTGATTTTGCTGTGAATCTAAAACTACTCTAGAAACAAAATAAATAAATAAAGCTACTCTAAAAACTAAAGTCTAAAAGAATTATCTCAATGCCTAGAAACAAGATTAGAAATTCCAAATTATTACAGGTAAAAGAGAACAAAGAAACTTTGATCAACCAGTCAAAAGTCAAGAAAAGGACGAAAGGAACAGTATAAATAGAGTAATTATAGGATTATAAAATAAGATAACCAAAAGATAGTAATCACAATAAGTGCAAAGGGGTTAACTTCACCTTTTTAAAAGTAAATAATTCTTTCCAATTAAGTAAAAAAGTAAAATCTGGCTCTATGCTGTTCAAAAACAAAAAAAAAATCACTAAAACAAGAAAAGCCATAACACAGAAATATGTGCTGTGTGGCTGGTAAGATATGCCAGGTAAATAAGAACAAAAAGAAAAAAAAAAAAAAATGGCGACATCCATACCAGACAAGTTAGAAGGCACAAAATGGTGTTTTACTCAGGTCTAACCAGGGAAACAGAAACCACTGCAAGGATTTTCAACAGCAGGAATGTAGGGCAGAGAACTATTTATAGGAGTGGAGTTGCTGAGATATCAGTAAGGGGAGAGGGTGTGGTGACCCCGGGGAAGGAGGCCATGTCTCAAGGTCCTGGGGGTGCCAGTGTCACTGCCTGGCAGAAGGTAGAGTCACAAGGAAATGCAGCCAAGACAAGAGGCAGAAAGCAAGGGGTAAGTACCCTCGCTTTTCTGTTCCTCCACAGGTTTATCTCCCTCCACAGCCTCTCGCTGGCCAAACCCATCTGAAAGCCAGTCAACCAAGGAGCCTGAGAAGTGCAGCCTGCACATGTCAGCCCCCCTGTAAGACAGTGAGGAATGGAGGTGGCACAAAGAACGGGAATGGAGACCAAAGTCCTAGGACCAACAAAGAATGTTGAAACGAATGCTTTTAATATAGATAAAAGGAACAATCCACCAAGGGCATATACTTATGTTACCTTGTACAAGGAGTAGAAATGGACGAGATGTGTCAGTGAAGGACCAGTCAGAAGACAGAATCATGACAGTTACTTTAAAGAATTTAATATACAACAACAACAACAAAAAAGATATTAACTAAGTAAAAGTTTGTTAACTAACTGAATGGGGCAAAAAGAGAACTCCAACATATCACAAAGGAGCAACTGGAAAACATAGCTCAGAGGATGGGTCTCTGGCGCCTGGACCCAAACATCTCAGGAGAGGGTGCATGCCAGCTGGTGATCTGGAAATGCCATGAAGTGGATTCTGCACATGTGAGAAGAAAAAAAAAAAAATGTAAACTTCAATCAACTGGAACTTCCAGGGCAAGAAAAGGAACCAGATACAAAAGCCACAGGAACAAAAATAAAGGAGCCCAGGCAGGTCTCACTCCATCAGCTCTGCAGGCTCTTTTCAGGACCCCTTTACCCATGGCGAAGGTAGCTGCCTGAAAAGCAATGTGATCTGCAGAATCCTAATATTACATTACAAAGCAAGGTCATTGACAGATAGATACAGGCATTTAAAGTTGAAAAGAGTTTTCCCACTTGAATACAGTCACACTAACTAGAGTACTAGTTATTTACAGAGTAAAAATACTTTATTTCCAATATCATTATAGACGTCTTCCTGTTTTAAAGATGTAAGCTATCTTATCTGTAATTTACTCTCATTGAAATTGGCCAAATTATCACAATTTTTTTTCAGTGGAAGTCACCTTTCATAGGGTTTCTGAAAATTGTTCATACCACCTCTAATCCTTTAAAAGCATATATTTGTTTATTTATTTACCTAATAACAAAATATATACAAAACTTACTAATGTGACACCATGATATATAAGGTTTAATACTGGATTCTTTTGTGACAATTTTTGAATATATTTCCTTAATGCTTGACAATAAAATTAGTTTATTTTGCATTATTTCCAATGAGCTTATAGAAAATACTTGTCTTAAATTTACTTTAAAACTGGAGCGCCTGGGTGGTTCAGTCAGGTGGGTTTCCAGCTCTTGGTTTCAGTTTGGGTCATGATCTCAGAGTCATGGGATCAAGCCCTGTGTCAGGCTCCATGCTCAGTGCAGAGTCTGTTTGAGGGTTCTCTCCTTTTCCCTCTCCCTCCCCCTATGCTCCTCTCCCCTCTCCACAAGCTTGCTCGCTCTCTCTCTCTCTAAAATAGATGGATAAAATCTTTTAAAAATTTAAAACAAAAATTCACTTGAAACAAAACTATTGGTCTTCCAATGATGGATAGTTCTTATTTGAAAATAGCATTCACTCATCTTTTTTCATTTGACAAATATTTATTGAGTTATTGGTGAGATAGATAGATAGATAGATAGATAGATAGATAGATATAATAAGACTAAAATTCCTGTTCATCAGAAAGTTAAAATCTGTTTTGGAGACAAACAGTGAAAATAAATTACATAAAATATACAGTATGTTAGACAACAGTAAGTGCTAAGGGAAAAAAATAAAGGCAGATAAGGGGATACGAACTATTAGGAGTGGGATAGGTAACATTTAGATGCATGACAAGGGAAGATCTCACTGACACGGTGAGTGGAGATCTGAATAAAGTGAGGACAGGAGCCATAAGGATACCTGGGAAAAGAGAACATTCCAGACAAAGGCAATGATATGTGCAAAGGCCCTGGGGT